TATCTCAAAAACTACTGCACCGATTTCAATTTTTTTTCAAAATACTCGTCTCGATGGCCTCTATGTAGGTCAAGCAAAATATATAGACTCTTTAATACACAGTTTGGAGCTATTGTCGTTTTCCGTTTTTCATAAAAAATCTTACGCACGATAACTTGAGAAAAAAAGGAGATAGCAAGTTGAAATTTGGTATGGTTCTAGCTCTTATAACACTAAAGGCTCGTATTTTGGATGGGCGCAATCGGCCGAGCGGTTCCTGATATGCAACCTTCTGTGTAAATATATTTCTTCAAATATCTCATGAACTACTTGACGGATTTCAATTTTTTTTCAAAATACTCGCCTCGACAGCCACTATCTGGATCAATCATAATAAATATATACAAAGTTTTCGAGATATTCCCGTTTTTTCGTTTTTCAAATTTTTCCATTCTGGTATGCACGATAACTTGAGAAAAAATGGGGATAGCAAGTTGAAATTTGGTATGAATAGCTCCTACAATACTGAAGGTTGGTTTTTTTGATAGGTGCCACCGGCCGAGCAGTTTCGGAGATAGTTAACCTTTTGTGTAAATCTTTTTCATTAAACGGTTGAATATTTTCCTGTAGACACCCGGTAGTATGTGGTTACGATTGCATGCCTGTCACAAGGATAGGGAATTGCTATGGACCTATTCGAAAGCTATCCCGGCTGGGCGAATCGGAATTTTTTCTCTCTAAATTTCAATTCTATTTGCAACCAAAAAATAGAAAAAAAAATAAATATTGGTTTGCGACCAATTCCAATGGAATTGGTAGAAATAAAAAAGAAAGAGACTAATGATATAAAAATATTTTGTCGAATAGGCTCGAACCCCTGCTTGTTTTCTCAAAATTAATCACCAAAATCCTAATTTGTCGCACACATACATTCAGACATGACTAAAAATTTGATGGGTTGTTGGTCGCTCGCTCCCATTGCGAGTGGGTTGGAGTGTGACCCATTACTGGTTAAACCAATAACTTCCTGACCAATTGCCTTTCCTGCATTCATCAGAATTAGATTTTTCTATACTACTTATTCTATTGAGATATTTTCCATTGAATTTCCTCGGCTCACATTTTCCAAGTTTTTTTTTTATTTTCTCAATGAAAAAGACAAAGTTTCAAATTTAAAAAACTCATGTTCGAATTACTCAGAAACCGCTGAGACGATTTTGCTGGAATTTTACTTCAGTCTTGATCATACAAAGGTGCATCAATTATGATGACAGGAAATCAATCTCATCGGTTCTCGGAGAGGAATCATCAAATTTGTAAAAAAAATGTTATTTTTCGACATTTTGTCAAAAGGTTTATTGCAAAATCCAACGAACCGCTGAGGCGATGTTGTTCAGAATCTAATCAGTTCTAAATGACATGAAGACGCATCGATCGACACACACACGCAGGCCGGTCTCGAAAAAGTGTCGGGAGAATTTCTAGAGGTCATAAAAAATTGGAGAAATCATGAAATGTCCACAATCGATTTTCGGGGTCATTACAATAACCCCATTTCTTCACGTTTCATAACACTCTAGACTATTTGCAATCAAAATTAGAAAATCGAAAAATCGGTCAAAAACAAGGTTTTCATTCGGACGCACAAACTAAAATCGCACTGAAATTAAAAAATTAATTCCCTAAATGTGATTGAATTAAAAAATGAATTCCCCCATCACCTCAATTAAGTACCAGTTTACGAGGTTGAAAAATCCACGGAAATAATCTCTCGTTCTTCAGTGAAATCGAATAAAAGTCCACTCAGCTCCGGTTCAATTCCGCAATTCCCCCAATTCCCGCTGACGTTACTCCCCCCTTCGCTGTTGCCATACTTCCAGCCCCAGCAACACTGCTCTCCTTTTCCCTCAGTTCACGGAAATAATTTGTGTATTGTGGTCGTACAGTGTTGTTCACTCTTTGTTGCTCCATCCTAACGAGAAAGCAAACCGTCAAATATGCCAATGATTAGGATTGTGTCACACTCAGCCAGTGTCGTGGGCCACCAACTCGTTCCTTTGGTTAAATAACCAGAGATATTTATTCCACGAGGACAAATCATAAGAGTGGTGCAATTTGAGTGATAACTGACGGCTGTTGTGCGTGAGTTACATCCGTTTTTATAACAGAACACTCGATTTATTTGTTTTATTCGCAACAATTGGGTTTTCCCCGCAACAGAGTGAAATTTCTTTGTTGATTTTTTTTCAACGAAAAGTGAGGAAAATTGAGGGAAGGAGAAGTTGGGGGGTTCTGATACCACGTTTTCCTGGGGAAATGTGGTCTCTAGTAATCGTGTGATAAGAAAATTAATGGTAGAAGATTTTTTAAAGATTATTAGAGGGTTTTGGATATTTTGTTAAGGAATTTGTGGAGTTTTTGGGAGTGGAAGATGAGTTTTTTTGTTTGTGGGAGAGTATATTGGGATGGAGTGGTTTTAGGAGGCAATGGCATAGAATATATTTTGTTGAGAATTTCCTGGGCTACAAAAAAGGTATTCTGACATTTGTTGATAGAACTAGCCGTTAAAGAGATAATTAGCAGTTGGTGAAGAGTTGAATGTGAAGTAGGGGAGATTGGGGTAGAACGCATCGTCTTCAATCGTGAATCACTCGAGAACTGTAGAGTAGAATTTCTTGATTTTTTGTTATCTTCAATATTTTTTGTTAAGCTTTAAAATGAGACCTGATTCATTCCAGTCGAATCATTTTTTTTTTATTGAGCACAAAACCTATTGGTTTATATTACAGCTTGAGTCGAATCATTTAGACAGGAGATGTTGACGTCTCAAGACTCCATTTTACTGCATTCTCCTTTATTTGTTGAGTTCGTGATCATTTTGGTAATGAGCCGCTTCAAGAATAAGTTTTCTAGTAGTCATATGATAATAAAATTATTGGAGTAGATTATCCGACTGATTTTCATATTTTATTGAGAAATTTGTGGAGTTTTTGGAAAAAAACATGATTTTTTTTTATTTGTGGGGGATTATCTTGGGATGGAGTGGTTTCAGGAAAAAATGTCGTAAAATATATTTTGTTGAAAATTTTCTGGACTACAAAAAAGGTTTTCTGACATTTTTTGATAGAACTATCCGTTAAAGAGATAATAAGCTGTTGGTGAATCGTTGAATGTGAAATAGGGGAGATTAGGGTAGAACGCATCGTCTTCAATCGTGAATCGCTCGAGAACTGTAGATTAGAATTTCTCGATTTTTTGTTATCTTCAATATTTTTTATTAAGCTTTAAAATGAGACCTGATTCATTCGAGTCAAATCATTTAGACAGGAGATGTTGACGTCTGAAGACTCCATTTTACTACATTCTCCTCAATTTTTGACTATGTCAGTAGTGAGTGGCTTCAAGAATAAGTTTTCTAGTAGCCATATGATAATAAAATTATTGAAGTAGATTATCAGACAGATTTTGATATTTTATTGAGAAATATGTGGAGTTTTTGGAAGCAAGAGATGATTTTTTTTGTTTGCATTATCTTGGGATGGAGTGGTTTTAGAGGAAAATTTAATAGAACATATTTTGACACCCTATGGAGGACGTATTTCTCAAACTGTTTGGAAAATTTTTCAATTCTATTAAAAATTTAACAGTTATTTTGAAAATAGCGATGTTAAATGCTAGTTAGAATAAAAAAAAATCATTCTATTAGAAATTTAATTTTAAATTCAATGGCATTCTAAATTATTGAGCAGCAGAATTCAATAAAAACATGAATATTTGGTAATAAATTTCGCTAATTTCTTCACAAATTGAAAATTCAATCTTTCAATTTTCTAGATTAATTGTTCTGAATTTGACAGTTTCCATCACGAAATTTCTTGAAATTTCAACGATACTGTCGCAAAAGATTTAACAATTACCATGTGATTATCTCAGTATTGAAGGGAATTGGGACGAAATTTTAAGAGAAACTTCTCTCATACCAAATTGTGTGCATCCCAAAAAAGGTGTCATAAAACTACTCATCTCCAAGATGATTGAATAATTAATAAGTGATAAAAGTATTTAAGTCAAGTATGGAATCAGGCATGAGTAAACAATGTTTATTAATCGCCTGATTGTCTCGTTAATAAATGGTTCTAGAAGAAAATGTCGACATACCTTTTTATAGATTATGTAATTTTCTGCAAAAAAATATTTTTTTCTGAACAATCACACTTCAATGAGATCATTCACAAATCAACAATTGAGATTATTTACATTTTGTCGTTTTGACAAAAACGGCAAAGTTCTCAAACAAGTCTTACTTGTGCCAAGAAAATATTTGTTTGAAAATTATCAAGAAAGGATTTTTTGTGCCAAACATGCAGAGAGTGCGCCGGAATGAAACATTTTTGTCGCAGAAATAGATTTAGTAGTTGAGAAAAAATTGCCTTCTCTGTACACGCAAGAAATGTTATTTCAAGCACTACTCCTTCGTTATTCGATACTCCCATATGTATTTTGCTCCCGAAAAATCTTTGTTTTATGCGAAATAAGGGATAGTAGTTTTTCGTTTCGGCTGTCTAATAATTACAGACAAAAAATGAACCCTTAAATGAAACAATGATAATGATATGATAGCAATCTTGTAACTTAGGGATAAAATATTTGTTGATGAATTTTCCTCTATATGAGATATTTTCATCCTGCAAAGGCACCGTCTGGTGCTAATTATCCGCCTCTTGAGCCAAATATTTCGTTGCTGTCGAAAGCAGAACAATTATTCATGTTTGAGACTTTCAAATTCAAACCAAACAAATTCTTTTTGGGCAATTTTCAACAAGCGATTGTGTTGGCTCAAACAAGATTTGTTTGACAACGTATTTGTTTTTCTCTCAGTGTCCTTTAATTGAAGAATACATGACAATCAATATGAAATAGCTCATGCAAATTCATTCATTTCCGAAGGATTTATCCAGCTTCTGACTTATCTATAAATTTTTCAAATTGAAAAATGATATGACATTTGTTTTGATTTTCAGAGAGCACAAACGGCCAATAAATCAGAAATTTGGAGAAGCCAGAGGGAATTAATCCAGCAGAGGTGGCTCAGCAGGCCTCCGCAATGAAGGGCACAAAGAGAGACTGGCTTTTTAGAGTGCAGGTATGCTAATCCCTTTTATCAATACTATTGATAGAGAAGAAAGGGTCAACCCACATCTACTAAACTGCTTGACCCAGGATAATCAATTACGATTATTTCTAGATTTTATAAAATCAATTTAAATAACAAAATAATTTTGTTGAGTGGAGAAATCAATCTAAAATGAACTCACAGATTATTTCGTCAACGTCTCAGAACCTAGCAGATTGAAAGGAATTTCCCAGAAGACTGAAAAAGAATTGAGTGATATTGACCCCAAAATGTTATTGAACTGAAAAATTTTCAGCTAAATAATACTTGTTTTAAGGCCGGGATGGATTATCTACTTCTAATTAGAATAAGGATCTTGAAGGTCATATGGGGTTTGCCAAGTGGAGCGAGCAGGGGCTGTGGCCCCCTAGTAGTTCAATAAAATTCAAATTTCCTATAAGGCTAAATAAAACCACAGCATTGAAATAATTAATATTTTGAATTAAAAAAAAAAAGAGATAAAAAAATAACACGATGATTCTCCAATGACAGGTACCAGGCCTCGCAAAAAATGAATTCGTCTACGTAGTGGGAAACCTCCCTGAGCTAGGAGCCTGGAACCACAATCAGTCGATCCAGCTGCACCAGGAGACGTCTGGCGACTCCCCAGGACACTCCACAGCCTTCGAGAGCAACCAGGCCGACGAACTCTTCAACGAAGACGGCAGCAGTGCCTCAGAGTTGAGGTTCGATGAAACCGAAGAGGGCAGGATCTTCTCAACAAAAATATCTCTTCCAACAGACGCTGAAGTCCACTTCCGGTACTTCATTGCTGTCGTCTGCCAGTCCAATGGGACCAAAAACTCAGCGAAGACCTTGCTTATTCGAAGGTGGGAGACACACATGCAGCCCAGAAGCATAAAGAAAAATACTTCCAGTAATTTTACTGAGGATTCAGTCCCTGAGCCTGAGAAATTTGGATACCACAATGGCTATTGTAAGATTGAACGAGGGTGGCTGACAGATGAGACTGTCATTCAGTTCAAACTCTTCAATAATCCGATTAAACTGTGGAAGAACAGACTGCAGAACAAGAAGTTGTATATTAAGATGACACCTGTTAATCTAGTCAGGCACAGCTCTGTCGAGATACCACAGTTTGCTGGTGAATGTGTGGAGGACAGTCTGTCCATGGACACACAGGATATTGTGGATCAACCTGCTTTCAGTATTACGGAGATTAGTGTGAGTCTGAAATCTTTATCTGCATTTTCATTTTCGTAAAGATCCAACAGATTGAAACCAATCGCAGGATCAAATTTTTGTTGACAAAAGGTTCAGTAATGGACCAGAATATTATCACTTACTGTTTCATACACTGAGAGAAAAACAACAAAGTTCTCAAACAAGTCTTACTTGAGCTAAGAAAATCGTTCTTTGAAAATGATCAAAAAAGGATTTTTTTGTGCCAAATATGCAGGGAATGCGCCGGAATGAAACATTTTTATCGCAAAAATAGATTTAGTAGTTCAAAAAAAAATTGCATTCTGTGTACACACAAGAAATGTCATTTCTAGCACTACTCAATCGTTATTCGATACTCCCATACGTATTTTGCTCCCGAAAAATCTTTGTTTTATGCGAAACAAGGGATAGTAGTTTTTCGTTTCGGCTATCTGATAATCACAGATAAGAAATGAACCCTTAAATGAAACAATAATAATTATATGATAGCAATCTTCTAATTTAGGGATAAAATATTTGTTGATAAATTTTCCTCTATATGAGATATTTTCATCCTGAAAAGGCACCGTATAGTGTGAATTATCCGCCTCTTCAGCCAAATATTTCGTTGCTGTCGAAAGCAGAACAATTATTCATGTTTGAGACTTTCAAATTCGAACCAAACAATTGTTTTTCTCTCAGTGTAGAATGTGATCCAAGGTAATTTGAAATACCTTCTGTACGATTGAAGGTAAAGAGAGAAAGCTTTTTAATCGTTCAAATTCAGGGGAGAGTGGGGCAAAATGAAACAGCGGAGCCAAATGAAACAGTCAAAAAAATGACAGTTTGACGCAATTCAAGCAAAAAAAATTTTGTTTCAAAATTTTTTTTTTGTGAACTTTTTTTATTCTTGGGAATACTGATGGGAATAATAATTTTCCATTCAGTAACATGGAAAATTATTGAGAAGTTTTGATGGGCAAAGATTTTGTTAATTGATTATTCGACTGAAATTCAGCATATTTTTCTTTTTCCCCCTCTGGGTCTCCCCCTGGGCCTTGCTCTGGACTCTGGATTTTGCTGTTTCATTTTCTTTTCAATTAATCCATTGACAAAATCTTCGCCCGTCAAAACTTCTCAAGAATTTTCCATTTTTTTGTTTGAAAATTTGGTATTATGAGCACCTAGGGATTGAAAAAAAAATTACTCAAAATCTTCTTATAGATGGTAGAAAATGGAAAATTTTGAGCCCTCATAAAGTCAGCTGAATAGAACCCGAGTTATTGAAAAAAAACAAAAAAACAAAGAAAAAATCTGAAAAAAATTGAGAGATAGTTTTTCTATCCCCCCAAACGTAGAAAAAAATCGAGATCAGTTTCTAAAAGGGTGAGGGTCAGCCGTTGACTCATTTGGCATGGAATACCTCAGATATTATTGAACTTCGATCCGAACTCTTTCATAATTTCAAGTCGACATAGCTCTTAGCTGAGTTTTCGGGGAATAACTCCGAATCTAACGTAGATAGCGAAATTTTCGTGATAACCTTTTTTGTAGCTCTCAATTCGCTCTACAAAAAAGGTTGCAATAAAAATATTGCCATCTGCCTTAGATTCCGAGATATTCACTGAAAACTGACAACTACTCAAAATTAACCTGAACCATTTTACCACTTCGCTCTTGAATTCTCTAAAAAAAATACCTTAATCAATTCTTTCAGGTAATGAACGATGAAGAGGCAACGTTCAGGTACCAGCAGCAGTTCGGTCGTACCTACGAAGAGGACGAGACCGTGATCTTCAGCGTGGCAGTCCGTTACCCAGACACAATCGTAAGTACCCCACGACCCAGCAAGCGTCATCTACTCATCATCTCAGATAATAATCCTGATTTGATATTTATTGCTTTCGATAAAATGACGAGAGTGTCTGAACCCTTCCTACAAATAAAAATTCCATTCAAATCATCACACGAATAAATCAAAGAACCAATAACAGATTTTGAAATAAAAATAATCCTCTCTCTATTCATAGAGTCAGTCACCCACTGTTTGATCTTGTGAATTGATCCAATCATTCATCGATCGAAAATAATCTGCACAATCGAAAATAAATCGTCCATTGATCACAGCAATAAATAACAAATCGAAGACTGAAAGAAAAAAAAATCTGAATCATCGTATTGACCATGTCATGTGAGTTTTCAGTAGACTACGAGTTATCCGGGACGTCTTCTTATCACCCCAGTAATCAAACCTATTATTTTGTAAAGAAAAATATCATTAAACTTGTCCAGCAGCCACCATTGGATCGTCAACGATGTCACGGTTATTGGGCTGGATGAACAGGGGATACAACCATTGACCACTTGTAATCCAAGAAGGTGGCATTGCAATCTGATGTAACAAGATGCCTTTTTTAAATGCATCGTCTACTTTATCGTCTGTGTCATGACAACGCACCGAGATATGATGGTGTTGATGTTCGTGAAATTCCATGTGGGGGATTGGGTTATTTTATTTAGATGAGAAGAATTTTTTGGGCTGGGTGAATGGTTTCTTGGAGGAGAAGACAAATAATCTCAATGAAAATGTGTGCATCGTCGGATATCATTTTATCTCTTGAACATGGGAATTTTTAATTACTGAATTCAAGAAACTCAGGGGTGAAGAGATGAGAACTTTATTTCATCATCATTTTACACAGTTTTTAAAAAATTTTTTGGGATTATTTTGGGGTTTCATGGGATCATCATGAAATGAATTTGTCGTCAGCAATTTAATTTCGTATACAGAAGGATCACAGCTATCGTTTAGGAAATAATTAATGATGCAAGATGTTGAATTTTATATGAAGAAAATTCCGTTGATGTGTGATTACTGATTCATTTCGATATTAAGGAGTTTCAGAAGGAAATGGGAAATATTTCCTGACAAACTAAGTATTTTATTAAGTAATATTTGTGAATTAACGTTTTAGAAATCATTCAAACTAAACATTTTGTTTCAAAAATCATTAAGAAACTAATGATGAATTCATTCAATCTCTCAAAATTATCTTAAACTCTTCCAATTAACTCAATCATAGAATCAATTGGAAATTGAGAAATTAATTATTGATTTATCTCGATTGTGAGAGGTTTTAGAAATAAATATCTAGAGACTTTTCTTCATAAACCTAGTCATTCAACAGATATTTATGAATTAATCCTTACAAAATCATTTAAACTGATCATTTAGTTCGAAAAATTATTGAAAAATGAATGATCAATTCATTTTACTTCGTATTGGGATGAATTCAATAACGAAATGTTAAAATGGTTCAAGTCGACTTATCTCCCAGTTGAGTTTTTGAGGAATATTTCCGAAGCTAAGGGAGATAGCGAAATTTTCGTAATTTCATTTGTTGTAGCCCTCAATCGGCTCTTCAAAAAAGGTTATAACAAAAATTTTGCTATCTCCCTTAAATTTCGAGATATTCATTGAAAACTGGTCAATAATCAAAATTGACTTGCACCCTTTTACCACTTCGCTACTGAATTCGTCAAAAGACATTTTTCTTGAAGAATTCAATTTCTCAAAAAGAAGCACTCCTGATATTTTTCACTCGAATCGATCGTTTGCGAAATAATTGATGATAAAAGATATTAAATTCTTTGATAAAATAAAATTCATTACTGTTTAATTATTGATTTATCTTGGTACTAAGGGGATGCAGAGAAGAATGTCAACAGATTTTCCTTGATAAGTCTAGGAGTTTCAAATATCTGTGAAATAATCCTTACGAAATTATCTAAACTGACCATTTTGTTTATAAAATCATGAAAAACAATGATTAATTCATCTCATCACCCAAAATTAGCTTGAAACCTCCAAACGAACTCATTCATTCCTCAAAATGAATTATTCTTCTGAACACAGATCTTCACAGATGTTCAGAAATAAAAATGTAAAATTAATTGAAAATTAATCGTACAATTTTCTTTTTCTGACCATTGTGAGGTTATTGTAGTTAAATAGTTTGATAATTAAGTAACTCCTGTGTCTTGTTGAATAATGGATTATTAAGAAAACGATATCAATACTGTCACGTCTCGTCCATCTGTGTGCGTCTGAAAATGGTGAGAGTCCCATCACTCCTTTATCCATTTAGTTTTTACTATTACATTATTTTCTAGCTCTGACCGACTCCTCTGAAACGTCCGTGGCACCTCAGTGCGGCAAATTCCAGAATAAGCTGTTTTATTGTTCTTCTCATTTATTTATTTCATTTTTAATGCCTAAATTGAAACAAAAAACAAAGTGAAACGAAAATTCCTTCTGACGAAATTGTTTATTATTGTTCATTTCATTGAGTTGATTGGTTGGGAGCATTGGCAGGTGGTGAATTTGATAATCATTGGTTTCATTTTTTTGACATTAGACAATTGGAAATGATTCAGTGATTAATTATGTTAATGAACAAAATTTAAATGATTTTCATTTGATTAATTACGCAATTATCTCTGTAATTAGTAGGTTTAATGAAATTTGTCAAAAGACATTTTTTTGGGAAATTTCTGTCTCTACGAAAAATGTTTCCTGGCATTTTTCGCTCAGAGCGATATTTATGGAGATAATTACATGATAGTAAATTGATGTTGATTTTTTTCTCGTTGTAATCATTGAATACTAATTTATTTGGTCGTTAAGTCCACTCTAGTTGATAGGGTTCTATTGGCTGGAGTAAAGTCCGATGTTTAATTGGATTTAATCATTTTTTGTTGAATTTATCGGATAATTGTGGGATTACTCTTGTAGTGAAGTGATGAATCTGTCGATTTTCAATTCAATTTATTTTTGTTGCGACGTATCAAACGACGTTTGGAGTTGAAAGTCCAATGGTTTTGAGGACAAACGACCCTTAAGGCCCTTTGGAGTTGAGGCTCTAATGGTTTTGAGGACAAACGACCCTTGAGGCCCTTTTGGAGTTGAGGGTCAAATGGTTTTGGGAGTCACATAAAAGAGTCACATTAAAGTCGTTTGTGTTGAGGCTAAAATCGTTTTGAGAAGAAAAGACCCTTAAGGCCCTTTGAAGTTGAGGGTCACATGCGGTTGACGCTTAGGGTTAAGGGTCAAATGATATTAAGGGCTGAATGAGTTAGAAGAGTGATTGAAAAGGATCGTTCGATCCTTGATAATACACGTCTTCCAGGGTCGCTCGCCTCTTAAGGCAATCTGACCCTCAGAAAACGTCCACACGGGTCGTTTGACCCTCAAGACCATTTGACCCTCAACTGTAATAAAACGGTTTCTGAATTGTCCCAACTAGTCGTTTTGTCTCGTGTTGCCGCACTATCCCCTGGCAAAAATTCATCTCTCCTAAAATAAAATCTACCGTTCTCGATTCATCAATTTACTACATAATTAATCACCCAATCAATTATCCTATTAACGGAGGTTTCACACATGGTCCTGCTGAATCATTATTTGCATCTCAGTAACAAGAAAAAAACCCTCAAATTGTTCGAATAACTCGTCGACTGCTACTTTGACGACGAAACATCGTCAAAGACGCAAATTATTTATCTAATGTACTTTAATCATCAGCAGCAATTAATGACGATCGATGCAGTCTCAGATAGTGGATGAGCTAAGAAATTAGTCATAAAGTCACGATTGCAGACAATTAAATGTTATTGGTGTCTCGTCGATTTAAGTTTTGGGATTTTTCATTTGATGCTGATGGCAGGTTTCTTTCAGGCGTATCTGGTGGACTTCTATGTTTACACGTCAAGGGTCTATCCTGGGGATTCACCGCCAACTCATATTGGGTTTAGCTACATTCTTCCCAGTACTCTGCAGGCCAGTGTGGGAATGCTGACGGTACCTATTACTAGTACCAAGCACAGGCCAATTGGTAAATAATTTTTGATTAATAAATTGGGATTGGATTTGAATTCTGAAATATTTTATCCTTTAGTAGTTAGTGAATCATCTCGGTAATGAGTGGAGTTACGAAAAAATAGTAGAAACTTTTTTTAGGTGAATTTATGGGGGAAATGTTGGCTGCCAACGTTGGGGCAATGTTGGTTGTCAACGTTGAGACAATGTTGGCTACGAACGTTGGTACAATGTTGGCTACCAACGTTGGGGCAATGTTGGCTGCCAATATTGGGGTAATGTTAGCTACCAAGGTTGGGACAATATTGGCTGCCAACGTTGGGACAATGTTGGCTACCAAGGTTGGGGCAACGTTGGCTGTCAATATTGGGGTAATGGTGGCTGCCAAGGTTGGGGCAATATTGGCTGCCAATATTGGGCTTATGTTGGCTGCCAACGTTGGGGCAATGTTTGTTGTCAACGTTGGGACAATGCTGTCAATATTGGGGTAATGTTGGCTGTTAAGGTTGGGGCAATGTTGACTGTCAATATTGGGACAATGTTGGCTGACAACATTGGGGCAATGTTTTCCTGAAAAATTCGTAATAGAAGTTATGGGAAACGTTTTTTTCCGGTCCCAAGAAATCACGAAATTGTAATTGATTTTTCATTAATCATTCACATTCACAAAGATGAAAAATAGTATCAGATGTTTTGTGGGGAGAATTCAATTTTCTGGAAAAAATGTCTCCTAATATTTTTTGTTTAACGTGATAATTTCGAAGATATTCATAGAGGGATTTACGAAGAATTTTTCTCATAACGAAAAATTACGATTTGTACTTTATGGTTTATCAATAACTTGATCATTATCTTGATCATGAATATTTTTACAAGAAAATGTCAGATCACACTTTTTTTTTAAGAGAATTGAATTTTCTACAGTAAAATTATCCTGCCATTATTTGGTGAAGCCGTTTAATTAAATATTCCTTGAAATTGGTTTTTTGTGTTATTTAGGACAATTGACTGTGGAGTACGTAGCAATTAAAGCAATTCCTGATTATCCATGGGACATGAGTATCTCGTATGCGAAACATTGGGAACAGAGGTGGTCAGGATTAGACGTTGGCCACAGAGGATTGGGTACATCGTTCAAGTGTGAAATGAAGAAGTGAGTACCTAAAAAATTATCAAAATCTCCAAGAAAATCCTTTCAACTAAAATAACAAATCGTTTCCATTTCGTTGATCGTTGAAACTAATTGGTTTGGAGAAAAAAATCAAGATAGCTTTTTTTTAATTAACGGGATACATCGGTGAATTTCAAATGTCTTCACTGGGCCTTGGGACTTATTGAACAGGTTGTGATATGACAGAATATGGTAATAACTGATAGCAGAACATATGAAACTAACTTCTTTGATGTTAAAAAAAAAATTATTCGCAATAGTCTCGCCAGAAATAAATAAACAAATTCTTCTTTGTACACGGGTTCTTATGGGATTTATGTTGAAATTTATAATTCACCTACTAGAAGACTCTAAAAATAAAAATAAAAATAGAAGGTAAATTTTACCAAAATAAAGGGAATAAGTTCATCTCTCAGTTGAAAGAAAATCGATTTTTTTTCAATATTTGCGATTTTGGATAAACATCCTTAATCAATATAAGTCGCAAATGTTGTTAATATTGACGAATTCTATGATTGATGGCTATCCCTGTTCCGAAGAATATATTGTTGCTACAAATAGATTTACTCTCTTCGCCCTTTGTCGCTGGAGGCTTAGAAAATTTAATCGCTCATACAGGCGACGGTATTTTCCCCCTCGCTTCGAATAGACTCCATCCTCTCGCCAGCATAAAAATTTTGGGAAACGTTTCTGGATCATCTCAAGATTTCCAGTGAAATTTGAAATTCCACGATTTTTCTCTCTCTCTCTCTCTCTCTCTCTCTCTCTCTCTCAATCAAATTCAATTTTACTCTCTTGAAAGTTACTAATGAATTGAACATTAAATTTGAATTTCTTTTCTAACAGAGTACAAATCTCTTTCTGATACTTCGTAACTGAATTGTGCATCTCGTACCAATATAAGGGGAATCAACTGATGAGATATGATAGAATTTTTTTTTCAATTTTCACAGCTGTGCTAATGTCAGGGAAAACACAATAGCTTCATTGAAAACAGCTGCTGACCACGGTGCAGACATGGTAGAATTCGACGTACAATTATCGAAAGACATGATACCAGTGATCTACCACGACTTCCACGTTTCCATCTCCTTAAAACGTAAAAAGCAAATCGATGCGATGGATATGCTTGAAATACCGGTGAAGGACCTCACATTAGAGCAGTTGCATCTTCTGAAAGTAAGTAATCCTTCCAGAATTATTAAATTCTCACTAGCAATAGTTCAGTAACAAAATTTTGAAAAAAGTGGGAATTAGCTCTCAAAACAATTTAGTTTGAAAAAGTTGTGAGGGTCAAGCGACCCTTAATGACATTTGGAGTTGAGGGTCAAATAGTTTCGACGGTCAAACGACGCTTAAAGTTGTTTGGAGTTGAGGGTCAAATGGTTTATGAGGGTGAAACGATTCTCAAAGTCGTTTGGAGTTAAGGGTCAAATGGTTTTGAGGGTCAAACAACCTTTCAGACCCTTTAGAGTTGAGGGTCAAATGGTTTTGAGTCAAACGATTCTTAACGGCGTTTGAGGTTGAGGGTTAAATGGTTTTGAGGGTCACACGACCCTTAAAGGCGTTTGGAAATGAGGGTCAAATGACTCTTAATGACGTTTGGAGTTGAGGGTCAAATGGTTTGGCGGGGCAAACGACCCTTAAGGTCGTTGGGAGCTGAGGATCAATTGGTTTTGAGGAGCAAACGACCCTTAATGATATTTGGAGCTGCGAGTCAAATGGTTTTGAGGGTCATAAATCCCCTAAGGTCGTTTGAAGTTGAGGGTCAAATGGTTTTGGGGGTCAAGCGGCCCTAAAAGTAGTTTGATAATGAGGGTCAAATGACTCTTAATGGCGTTTGGAGTTAACGGTCTAATGGTTTGGAAGGGCACACGACCCTTAAGGTCGTTTGGAGCTGAGGATCAATTGGTTTTGAGGAGCAAACGACCCTCAATGATATTTGGAGCTGCGAGTCAAATGGTTTTGAGGGTCATAAATCCCTTAAGGTCGTTTGAAGTTGAGGGTCAAACCACCCTTAAAGTCGTTTGGAAATGAGGGTCAAATGACTCTTAATGACGTTTGGAGTTGAGGGTCAAACAACCTTTCAGACCCTTTAGAGTTGAGGGTCAAATGGTTTTGAGTCAAACGATTCTTAACGGCGTTTGAGGTTGAGGGTCAAATGGTTTTGGGGGTCAAGCGGCCCTTACAGTAGTTTGGTAATGATTCTTAATGACGTTTGGAGTTAAGGGTCTAATGGTTTGGAAGGGCAAACGACCCTTAAGGTCGTTTGGAGTTGAGGATTAAGGGGTTTTGAGGGTCAAACAACCCTTAATGTTATTTGGGGCTGAGAGTCGAATGGTTTTGAGGGTCACAAATCCCTTAAGGTCGTTTGAAGTTGAGGGTGAAACCACCCTTAAAGTCGTTTGGAAATGAGGGTCAAATGACTCTTAATAACGTTTGGAGTTAAGGGTCAAATGGTTTGGAGGGGCAAACAACCTTTAAGGTTATTTGAAGTTGAGGGAAAAGTAATTTTGAGGGTTAAAGGACGCTTAATGACGTTTCGAATTGAGGGTCAAATGGTTTTGAGGGTCAAACAAACCCTCTAAAATGTTTGGATTTGAGGATCAAATGACCGTTAGGACTTTTGAATTTGGGGATTAAGTGCTTTTGCGGGTCACACGAACCCTAAACAACGTTTGGGTTTGAGGATCAAATGATTTACAACAGAGTGATCAAAAAGTATCTTTCGACCCTTCGTAAAAGCTGTGAATTACTGCTCGAATATTTTTGAAACGAAAAGTTAAAAAAAAATCAAAACACGCTTTCCACATCCTTCATCAAAATAATCACACAATTAATGGTTGACAATTTCTGTTGATAGTTGCAGATTTCCGTTTGATTATACAATTATTATTATTATTAATTATTGAAAAAATGACGAAGTCTCTGATATTTCCCTTTAAACCTACTAGTTTTAGAGGCATTCACCGAATAAATTCTGAAAAAAATTACAAGAAAAAATATTTCATCCAGCCTGGGCATCACATATTCATACTCAATCGAATTTCCCCAGAATTTTCAGTTTTCATAAATTATAAATTTGACAGGATATTAATTACCCCGAAGACTCGAGGGGTAAGGTGCTGCATTACTTTGATAACGATGAGCAAAGGGTTAACAAACTGGTGAGCTTATACACAGCTTGTGCAGACCAATAGGTCTAGAATTGATTGAATTACAATTTCAAGTGGATCAGTCATTCATCGAAAGCATGAGTCCTCTCTGAATTCACAAATTTCGATCATCACAGTTACTTTTTTTCACTGATATGAGAAAAAACAACCAGAGCATACAGCATATCTATGCTTCGCTTGATCATAAATTCGTCAAGTGGTAAAATTTAATTTAAAAAAAGTCATTACATCGTCGTTAATTTTAAAAATGACAGACGAACTGTTTTGTTGCGGAAAAAATTATCTGCACGAAAAGTTTTTCAACATTTTTTTTTCGTAACCATGTTCGTTACCGAGAGAAGCAAATATTTAACAAGATGTAAAAAATTTACTTGCTGCATTCTACTGAGTCATCATAACTCGATATCACCTGCTACATCAATCCATTAAGGGGAGGCTGCTATGAGTTTTAAAAGTCGCGGACTATTGGAATGAGATTTGTCATACATTCAAGATCGATTATATATTTCTAAAAACAAATAATTAGTGCAAAAAAATTAATTGTTCATTGGGCGTTTCCCCCGCAGACGTTAAAAATGTTAAAATATTAAAATGTTGAAATGTTAAAATGTTAAAATATTAATAGTCCAGGGCCTCCAATTTTTGAGCGATAGAAATTTTTTTTTCAAAATTTTTGAAAAAATGTGTGCAGCAACACTTACGAATTCGTTTTTTAAAATTGTACTCCTACACAGATAATTTCGTTATTTCTTTAATAAAAAAATCTACCACTCATGTAAAATAGCCCGAAAAATGTTTCTGAATAAATCGAGAATATTTTTTATTATTTTAAGGATAATTTTTCTGCTTATTTTAAATGAATGGCGCAAATTTTTATATTAAACAAAAAGAAATTAGCTGCGTGGGAGTCGAATTTCAAAATAATTCATAATTGTTATTACACATTGCTTCAAAATTTTTGAAAAAAACCTCTGTAGCTCACAAATTGAAGACTCTGAACTATTTTCAACCTTTTAAGAGTCTGCGGGGTAAACGAACCATAAATAATTAATTTTTTTGTATCAATTACTTGTTTTTCGACATATATAATCGATCTTCAATGCACGAGAAATCTCACTCCAGAGCCCGTGACTTTTAAAACTCATAGTGGTTTCCCCTTAAACAATTAGTGGTCTCCCCTTAAAAATTTCTCGTTCCATCGTTTGAAGAAAGAATAAACAATATTTTTTGGGATGTATTGACTTTTTGCACAGCTCATCAGTCTGAGTCATCAGTCATTGATTCATGATTGATGACAATCATTTACAGCATGAAGAGACTTGAGCAAAGGGCATGTAATACTTATTACCAGTATATGCCCAGTTTTTTGGATTTTTTTGGCAAACCCTAATGGAGAGAATTTCACATTTTTCGTGATCTATATATCCATCTCGGTAATCCTAGGAGAATATATTAAACGTTGTTTTGTACATGAGAATATTCTCTGCAAAAAATGTCTGAAATCGGCCAGTGATTTTTTAATCAACACTGAGAGAAAAACGACAAAGTTCTCAAACAAGTCTTAGTTGTGCCAAGAAAATAGGTTTTTCTGTACTGCTTTTCACGATTTCTCGTCTGGGAATTGATATTACATACTTCCCAAACTCGAAAACTTAAAACCACTACAGAAAAATATTGTTCCTGGGGTGTTGCGATGGGGTTTTTTTACTCGTGTGGTTGGCCCGTCCTCGCCTACGGCTCGGAGGCCAACGCCACACGAGTAAAAAACCCCATCGCAACAGGCCGGAAATAGTATATTTCGTAACGAGTGCAAAAAAGTGTTTTTTTGGCGAGTGGGAGGTTTATATCACGAGCCGAAGGCGAGGGATATAATCCCACGAGCTAAAAAACATTTTTTCACGAGTTACGAACAATATTTTTCATCACAATGTGGCGGAAATTGGACTTTTCGTCACAGCGTGATGAAAAATACTATTTGACAATGATCAAAAAAGGATTTTTTCTGTGCCAAACATGCAGAGTGCGCCGGAATGAAAAATTTTTGTCGCAAAAATAGATTTAGTAGTTGAAAAAAATTGCATTCTCTGTACACGCAAGAAATGCCATTTAGGTATAGCACTACTCCTTCGTTATTCGATACTCGCATACGTATTTTGCTCTCGAAAAATCTTTGTTTTATGCGAAACAAGGTATAGTAGTTTTTCGTTTCAGCTGTCTACTAATCACAGACAACAAATGAACCCTTGAATGAAACAATAATAAATATATGATAGCAATCTTCTATCTTCGGGATAAAATATTTGTTGATAAATTTTCCTCTATATGAGATATGTTTATCCTGAAAAGGCACTGTCTGGTGTGAATTATCCGCCTCTTGAGCCAAATATTTCGTTGCTATTGAAAGCAGAACAATTATTTATGTTTGAGACTTTCAAATTCGAACCAAACAAATTCTTTTTTGGCAATTTTCAACTAGCGATTTTGTTGGCCCAAACAAGATTTGTTTGACAACGTGTTTGTTTTTCTGTCAGTGAAGTGTAAAACAGTGAATTGGCAATAATCATTGTTTTTATAATATTAATTGAGGATATCCAAGTATCTTTTACAGTTCAGTCGTCAAATTTCTCAATTAAATTGTGGGAACAAAATTTGAAAAAAAAATCATTAATTTTCAACATCATTTAACTTTCATTTTACTTATTAGTAAATAATTGAAATTGTTTAAACTTTCGGAAACTATTTGTTTAGGCATGAAATCGATTTCTGGTAAAATTCTGAATAGGAATCAATTTGTTGAGATTCCGAATAAATGATTTTTATGGTGAAAAATTGATTTTTTATAAATTATTTATAGAAATTGATCGTAATTTTCAAAAATTGCAATTTTTTAATTATTTCATCAATCTTCCTGCAAAAGTAGACTTTCTAATTTTTTTTCAGATTTTCAAAATGTGTTCCAAGGGTTCAAGATCAAGATTGAAAGACAGACATGTAAAGTTTAAATAATAAAATCATTGTAAAATGTCCGGAAACTTAGGGTCAAATGGAGCTCAAATGAAAGCTCTAAGGTTTCGACTGCAAAAGTAGAAAATCATTTGACTGGGGAAAAAATACCGAAAGTACTTGGATATCCTTAAGAGAAAGTTTATCTGAAAATAATCAAAGTTTATTAATCGTCAGTAAAAAATAAAAATTATCAGCGTAACAAATAGTCTTGAAAGTTGAATCCATTGATTAATTAATAATTCAATAATGTAGAAGTTTTCTCATACCATTAACTAATTTTGTACCTCATCAAATAATTTTATTTGAACATTCGATTTTTTTGAATACTAATTTCATTATGTTATATCGACGTCTGGTCTAAAATCACTGATTACCGAGATGGTTCATTCATTGAGAAGATGTGAAAAATTGAATTATTCTGTTATGTTTCATTATTTTGCTACTGGAAGAAACTATGAAAATGGAGGGATTTTCAGACACAGAGAGGATTGAGATTAACATCGGAAAATTGCTTTTCAGGTTTACCATCTGGCGGAGGCACGAGAGAAGAATCCCAGGTTCTTTGATGAGGACCTAGAGGACCATCAGCCATTTCCTACCCTTCAGGCTGTTCTGCAAGAGCTAGATATGCATGTTGGATGTAATATCGAGATCAAGTGGACGATGCAGCTGAAGGTAAAGATGATGTCCTAATAGACCTTTTCATTCTGGAAATCTAGGGGACATATTTATTTCGTTGATCGAACTGAACGAGAGATGTTTTGACGGACGCAGATTTTCCATTCAATAGAATGGAAAATTATTATTCTCATCTCATATTGATGGACTGGTAGAATATTCATGTACATTGATTGTTAGAATGTAGTAGTTTCTATTTTTCTTTTTTTTTATTATTGAACGTTTATTGTGGTGGACCAAGTGGTTTTTGGATAAAAAGGTTTTTGACGATTTGGATCATTGGACGAATAGTCTTTGGACCAAAAGTATCAAACCCAAAAAATCCAGATAACATTCGAAAGATGGTACACCTGGGCCTTGATAAAGAAAATTTTTTTTCCTTGAATCGCATCAAACAGTCGTGTTTTTGGCTGTTTCATTTTACGCCCCTTTTCATCTTGCCCCACTCACCCCTATATTTCCAACGAAAATCACCCACACGAGCTTCATTTCCTTCCAGGACGGCACATTCGAGCTAAACCACCCGTTCGACCTGAACACCTACCTCGACATCATCCTAAAAGTCACCCTGGACCACGGAGGCGACCGTAAAATCGTATTCTCCTCCTTCAACCCAGACATCTGCGCCATGATCCGCCTCAAGCAGAACAAGTACCCAGTGGTGTTCCTCACTCAGGGGATCACCATGAAGTATCCAACCTACCACGACCCCAGGTGTCAGTCGATCCCCATGGCGATGCTCCACGCTATTTCCGCCGACATTCTGGGGATAAACGTCCACACCGAGGACATCCTCCGAGACCCCTCCCACGTGCAGATAGTCAGGGATCGAGGGCTCGTAATCTTCTGCTGGGGGGACGACAACAACGACAAAGCCACCATTCAACACCTCAAGAAATTGGGCCTACACGCTGTGATCTACGATAAAATCGACGAATACAATCAGAAGGAGGTGAAGGAGTCGATTTTCCTGGTGGACGCCAGGGAGAACCAGAAGGCACTCATCGCCCTGGCCCAGTGCGTCGACAACCAGTCCCTCCCACCCCCTGACAACGGGGACAATGGCGTTAGCTACGACACCTCGATGATTCTCAATCCGAAGATTGGCAATATCTCATCGTCGTCGCTCGCTGATTCCAGCATTTTTCCGATGCCTGAACTGCTGCCTGGGGAGAGGATCTCTGGGAACGAGTCGGATGAGGGCGAAATCAGGAGCTTGGCCAGGGATTTCAGCGAGTGCGCCAACTCTTTTGGCAGGATTGGGGAGGGAGGGGAAGGTGCTGTGGGGTGTGGGGAGCAGGAGGGCGCCAAGGATTACCTTTGATGACGAGGGTTTAGGGGACTGATGGCTTGTTTTTGTACGAGGGCGAGGGGTGAGGAGAGGGTTTAGGAAGGGGAGGGGGCAGTTTCCTCGAGGATTTGGTGGAATTTTGGGAGCAGTTTTGGGAGTGATGGGTTTTGAAGGGCTTCAAGAGGGTGAGTGGAAAGGAAAACCTTATTGAATTACTGAATGAATTGTTCATTTGAGATCATTTTTTTGTTCAAGTTGATGTAATGATTTTGTAAATATGTTGAGGAGTAGATTCAGGATGAATAACCAAGAGAATTTTTGCAGGATAAACAATTTCACACAAAAATATTTGTATTTTTTAAATTTTGTCATGAAAGCCCGTGTCGCCGAGATGATTGAGAAATTGATGAAATGTTTTTATTTTGAGTTTAATTAGTTCGCTTTTTAATGATTGAATTAGCTCGCTGAAGAGTGACTTCGTCTGAAAATATCGTGAATAATTGTTGTAGAAAACTTTGCAAAAAAAACTCCTCGACATTTTTTCATCAAATCACTCACTCGAGAGACAACTCCAAAATTAAAACGAAAATTCAAGTCAAAAACATCTTTTGAATCCCCAATATCTCTACGATTGCCCAAATGCCGAGAGATTTTTTTTTCAGGAATGATAATCTTACACGAAACCCCTTATGAAAAATTAATCAAAGGTTTTCATCTAACTTGAATGAGTTCACTTCCTACTCATTAAAAACATCGTAATTTTTGTAGAGAATTTTGTAATTTACAAAAACAATTGTTTGACATTTTTTCCTGGAAGCACTCATGAGAGAGACTACTCCACAATTAACACGAAAATTGAAGCCAAAAAATCTTTCAACTCTCAACACTAATTTAATAATTTCAAAAATTAACTCCTCACCCTAGCCCACAAGCTGAATAAACAAATAAAGATAATTCTGCTAAGATAACTCCTATATTTACCACTTTTGAGTCTGCATTGGACTGTCCGGGATAATAATTATTGTGAATACAGAAGTTAACGATAAAAATATGAGAGTTTAGTACAAAAATATTTCTATGCACCTCTTATTATTTTCTATCGTCCTTCGGTGCTTATTTCTGACTCTTAATTATTAATTATCTCGAGAGGAGTTGAAGGGAAAGACAATTATCGAAGGAAGCTTCGTCAATCTAATGAACATATATTTTTTTAGATGAATGAACAAATACTGGGATTTTATTTTAATTCCAATTTTCCTAGTGTTTGATGGGCAGAACTCACTATTGACAGCTTCCGTATAATCAATTATTTATGTAGTTTAGGGGACTATTTGTCTTACACTTTTCTTATTGTTCATTCACATGAGTTATCCCAGAAAATGATTTTTTTGAACCAAGTGGAAATAATTTTAACGAAAAAAAGGAAAAAAATGGATGAATTTATTCTAGACATTTATTTATTAATATTTCTAAACTGAAATTTTAGTTTTAAGAACTATTAATCATTTTAATATAATAATTTGTTTCTATCAACGAAGAGAAGTGAAAATCCAGGGGAAAAGGTGATTTCATTCAAATAAATCATTTTTCTTGATGACAGAATTGTCTTATGAATTTTCTTAGTTAATTTTCTCGTCTTAATTTTTACTAAATAACGCCGATAATATTGCTGAAGCCAATTTTGATGATTTTGGAAATCGTTAAGAAGGATTTTGTAGTGAAGTGGCAAAAACAGATAAATTTCCAGTTCAATCCCAATAATTTTGGAAATATCTCAGGAACTAGTGGGCTTAGAAAAAAAAATGTCGAATTGGGGAATTTAATTGCTGCAACCACCCGCTTCCAAGGCGATAAATCAACAATTGAAATTATTGATTGTTAATTACTTCATAATATCGAAAACTATTGGCCCTAGGAAAAACTGTCACAAAACCTTTTTTGTGGAGAATTCCATTCCCTACAAAAAAGCTTTTTTCGCATTTTTCTCTACCTGCACTCATTGCCGAGATAATTGAATAATTAACGAGTGATTCATATGTTCGAATCCTTGAACTAAAAGATAAAATCTGTTTCAACTCCCTTATCTCCCAAACCATCGACATTAGGTGAAAATGTCATAAGACATTTTTTGTAGAGAATTTAATTTTCCACAAAAAATGTTTTTTGCCATTTTCTCGGAAACCTCTTCGATTCCGAGATATTCACGAAATAAATAAATGAATGTGTTGATAAATCCAAGGACTCACCCTCACAACTCATCTGTGAATTTTTACCACTTCATTACTACAATCGTGAAGATAATCCGGTGAAAATGACTGCCTCTGTCGCTGGAATTATTCGTTGGAAGTGTGAAGAGTATGAGAAATCGATGATGAACGAAGGAATGATGAAAATAATACCGATTATTGTAATTTATTTCGATGCTGGAAATAGCCAATCAGCTACTGATCATACTGTAATCAATGGTTTTCTAAAGTGTGCCCATTAGTGCAGAATTTATAGCTACTGATGAATCATGGATTGAGCAGATCAAATAAATTCATACGTTCGATTTGTATAATTGCAATTTTTTATTTAACAATTCTTCCCAGTTAATGCAGTGGATGATGGTTCAATCAACGATCTTAATTAACACCTGACAATTTTGGTAATTTCAACATTCAATCATTTTCGTGATGGTCATAATGTGATTAAATAAATACACAAATAATTTAGATAATGTAAGGCCCAGTTGGATTATCTTTCGAATGTTATTGCTATCTAGACTGTTCTTTGTCGATTTTTTATCTGGAAATTTCCATTCGGTTTTGCATGATGCAGAGAACCGCAAAAAATCCAGATGTATGCCTAAAAAAAGTATAAAAAATGGAAAATTTTGAAAGGGCGTTTTTAATTTTTATTGAAGAATAATGCAAATAATGAGAGAATTCGAAATGTATTATTTACCATGGCAAATGGTGCCGTATCAACCGCCATTGGGCGGAGGAGGATAAACTCTTAAATCCTTTGGTAGACTGCACATAGACAACTGATCCAGAAAAGGTTCTTTCGAAATTTTTCAAATATTAAAAAAAAAATTTTGATTACACTTTCACTATGTAATAATGATGATTCACGGCGTAAAACTGTTATGAAACATGAGGTGCAAATCAACTGTCACTTTTATATATGGAGAATAGGGAACTTGCATGAATTTTTTTCAATTTTCTAATCTCAAGTTTGGGACCTGAATAATTCATTTTTCATTCACAAACGTTTGAAATAGGTCTCATTAATGATTAATTAAGTGTTAAAAGTTGAAGATTTCAAACGCTTTGAAATCGGCAATAACGTCACACAGACGGTCGAGCGCTGGACCAATCACAGAGTGGCTCGAGCCGACCTAATTAAATGTTGAGGTGCGCCTCGGCCAATGGAGAACCACAACTCCCCCCTCACTTTTTTTCGACCAATGAAGCGTTACCTAATCGTCTTCGTGAAGTCATGACCGAAAAATTGGTCTCGAAAATGACTGATTTTCAATTAATTATCATAATGCATCTAGACAATATTTCGCCATAATCTTCGTCGTTCAGTTATCCATATGTTACCAGGAATGTGTGAATAGGGAATTAGAAAGAATTGAACTGCATGCAAGTTCCCTATTAAATAAAAGTGACAGTTGACAATCAAGTAGTAATTTCCATGAAAGTGACGGCTGATTTGCACCTCAATGTTCATAACAGTTTTGCGCGGCGAATAGTCATTATTCCATCGTGAAAGTGTAATCAAAAATTTTTTTTAAATGTTTAAAAATTTTTGAAAGAATCTTTTTTGGATCAGTTGCCTACGTGCAGTGTATCAAAGGATTTACGAGTTCATCCTCCTCCCCCCCCTGACGGTGGTTGACACAACGCCATTTGCCACTGTAAATAATACATTTCTAATTTTCCTATTGTTTGCATTATTCCCCAATAAAAATAAAAAACGCTCGTCCAAAATTTTTTTGAAATTTTTTTTTGACTTTTATTTTGAGTATACATTTATATTTTTTGCAGTTCTCTGTTTCATGCAAAAGCGAATGGAAATTTCCAAATGAAAAAATTGACGAAAAAGGATTTAGATCACATTTGAAGGATAATCCAACCGAATCTTAAGTGAGTGATGGAGCTATGAATCGTAATTAGTCCATTTTTCCATTTTGTAGGAGTCTTCTGACATCTTCCCGTGACCTCACGAATTACTGCGATATTTTCATAACAAATAATTGATCACTAAAGTAATAATTAATAATGGCATGATGCAGGAAAAATTTGTGTAATTATGCGATTGCCTGGATAACGATTGATGTTACAACAAAATGGAATAAATCCTCTATTACATTTCGTCACTTCACTGCTGAAGTAAATGAACAATTTTCATGAAATACATGGACCCGAAACTAACATGGATTGCATCAATTCAGATTCCATATGGATTAAATTAATCCACGAGTCATAAATTCACTAAATTTACAAGTTATCAATATTAAATTAATGAATCGGATAAAAAAATTTAAAAAATGAAAGTCACTTTAACAAAGGAGCTGACCATTCTGTTTCTACTTCCTTACAATTTTCGAGACTAACAACACACAAAAATATTTAATAGAAAAAGCTAGTGAGTTCGCTGAACAATTCTATTGAATTTTCTATTATTTTTTGGCCGATTCTATTGAAACGTTTAGTAGGAACTATGCTATAGAAAAAGTCAATTAAATTCGACTTTTCTATTGAGATATTTTCTGTAGAATTTCCCCGGCTCAAATTTCAAATTTTTTTATTTGATCCTCTTGACGAAAAAAAAAGAAAATTAGAATGAAAAAAAGGTTTTTTATTCTAAATTTAATTAGATTGAAAAAGTGAAGTGAAAAATGAAGTGAGTGAAGTGGACTTGGATTTTAATTCTTTTTGTTTGATTCTCTTCATGAAAAGAAAAGAAAATTATGATAAAAAAAATTCATGCTAATTTTAATTAGATTACAAAAGTGAAGTGAGTGAAGTGGACTTGGATTTTATTTTTTTTTGTTTGATTCTTTTGATGAAAAGAAAAATAAAATAAACAAAACTTGGAAATTTGAGCCGAGGAAATTTTATAGAAAATATCTGAATACAATAAGTTGTATAGAAAAATCGACTTCTGTTGACTTTTTCTGTCGAATATTTTTCCATTGAACATTTTGATAGAATCGGCCAAAAACTAATAGAAAGCTCAATATCCAAATCCAATAGAATTGTCTAATGAATTCGCTAGGTTTTTCTATTAAATTCTTTCATGTGTGAATTATTTCCTCTGATAACGGTTTTGTCGATGTCGAGGATCCTTCAGGTTGGGGCACGATCGCTCCAGGAGTTCGTAGCTCCACAGCCCACATATTTTGCAGAATGGAATCCTCCAGTAAGTCACTGGACAATACCTGAACTTGTGACCAAATCCATGACATTTGAAGCACCACCAGGGCTTGTACTTCCTAGGCGCACCTGGAGATGAGAATGCAGAACTACCGTCATTTTTTACATGTACCACGACAGTAATAAAATTACCGATTTATGACCATTTCTGACCTAACGCACACGTATGAAAAAATCCTGTGGATTTCCTATAGGGAATCCTAAGGAGAATTCGAACATTTCTAATATGATTTTTCAGATAGGATTTTTTATAGGACTAGGGGGCTACGCCCCCTACTCGCTCCGCTTGCCAACCCCATCATCCTTATTCTGACCCTTGTGACCCTTATTCTGACCCTCATGACTCTTAATCTGACCTCTGTAATCCGAAATCTTACCCGCGAGACCGTTATTCTGACCCTCAATCTGACCCCTGTGACCCTTGTTCTGACTCTGGGCTGAAACCTCTAGACTCTCCACCTCCTCTCCCAAATTATCATCACTGACGCTGGGTGTTGGTGGGGGCGTTGGGAATGCCCTAGCCGCAATCCTCTCATCCAAGCTTGTTTCAAGAATCTGGAGCACTTGCTGCAGAAGTTCCTCTTCCTCTTCCTCCTCTGGGTAGAAGAAAATTGTCTTGGGGGTGGCGTTATTCTGCCTGATGGGGGGACAATTGTCGGTAGTTCCACCACGTCGGGGTGCCATTTCGATGTGGTAATTTATGCAATTGGTGAACGAGGCGGTAAAGGGATTATTTGAAGCAGTTCTATAATCCGAAATCAATTGAGCAACAAATTGGGATTCGATTATCACAATTACACTCTGGGTATTTATTCCGCTGGGACTGGCTCATGGGCTACTGATGAATTACAGGAATGGGTAAAATGAAAATTGATGATGCCCTCTGTGTTTATATTTTTCGGGGAAATTGTCTTTCATCTCCGCGGCAGGTATTTATGACAGGGCGACGGGAGAGAGGGGGTGTTTATCTCCAATTCTAGTGAAGTAGACCTACAAGCGCCATTGAAAATTGATTAATAATTTCCACGAATGGAGGAATAATGAGAAAAGCCAAGGAATCATCGGATACTAAACAATTCACAAAGGAATCAACTTCAGTGATGAATGATAACTAAAGTAACTTCCAATTTTTTGTTTCAATTTTCGAATTAATTAGGAGTTATTGAGGCGAATGAACGCAAAGGTAGTGGGGTCGCAAGTATGGCCTCTCGCTGCTGAGAGAAAGAGAAAGTGATAATCAACAAGTGAGATTTGCAATATTTTTACGCAGCTTCCACTGCAATTTATTTAATTTGAGTTCTTAATATTATTTTTTTGTTTAAACCCTCGGTTCAAGTTGTTTTACAACTGAAGAGAGAAGCAGATGTAACAATGACGCACGTGGACGCGAAATAATCATCGAACTCTCAGTGAATTTTTACCTAATTTTCACTGCAATTTTCATTGGTTGATCTTGAGCAACTAGTACAACTATAATTGATGTTTTTTTTGTTCAAAGCCTCGATTCAAGTCGATTTTAAACTGAAGAGAGAAATGAACGGATGAATATAGCGCCCGTGGTAGCGAAAAAATCGTCGCCATCTCAGTGATAATTTTCAATAATTCGAGATTCTTTGAATCATTTCGAAGAGGGAAATGTGTTCAAGGAGAAACAAAATTGTTATTTAAGACACGTTTATTCGAAATTCTTTTATGTTACAAATTACAAATCACTTTGCTATCAACAATTTCTCGGGACATTCAACAAAAATCCAGCATTGAACCCTTCTATTAACAAGATTAACAAAAATTTCCCGACAACATCTGAAGCGAAGTGACAATACGCGACATAAAAGCGCAAATATCTGGTGAACCATTGCCTCTCCGAAAAAGTGTCTCTAGATCATTTTTGCAGCTGATGAAATTCTCTACCAAAAGTATCTGATGCATTTTCTCCCAAACCCACTTACTACCAAGATAATTTCATCCTTAACAACCCCTCAACATTTACCCACTTCCCTCAACCTTTTCATCATCTCAATTTAACATCAAATAATCTTAACAAGCGCTGTCTCACAAAAAAATCTCGAAGAACACAATTCACCCAGAATTCCCAGCTCTACAAAAAAGATCTTACGACATTTTCCCCCAAATCCACTCCTCTCCAAGCTACACCCAAGCCAATCAACCCCACCAGAGCCCACACCCCCCGTATTCCCACTTCGCTCAAGATTCCTCTTCCCCCCAGCCCTCAATCATTCACATCGTCCAGTCCATTCTCCCCTCCCCAGTCATTCAAATCCTCCCCCCAGCCATCGTCATCGTCGTCCTGCATGGACCCCCCCTTAAAGTCAAACACACTCCTCACGTTTTTCACCCTCTCCTCCTCGATATGAACAATCCTCGGTTTCTCGATGACCGGTTCCATATCCGTGAAGAAGTCCACCTCCTCCTTGACCCCCTGACTCTTCGAGTGCTTGATGTCAAGCTCTGTAATATCCGATATCTGAATTTTCTTGGAATACAACTGTCTGTCGATCTTGGGGGCCGATTTTGCTGGCACAACTGTCTCTTCAATGATCTCCACGTCATTCCTGGCGTCGGCCTCGACATTCGAAGTGTCCTGAGCGTCCCAGTCAGACCACGTGCCCTCCTCCTCGACGAAGACGACAGGCGTCTCTTCCCCCACCTCTCCACCGTCGGGGGAAGGTCTCTCAGGGAGGTCCATGAGGGGCACCTCCACAGGAGCACTTTTCCTCATCTTCTCGTCGATTCTCTTGCTGCCTCGCACCTCCACTCGACTCTGGTTGTGATTGGGCCTTCCATCGGTGAATAATTTTCCTCTTTTACCCCCGATGACTGTCGCAGCCCCCAGAATTGGCACCAGGTCCGCCAGGGCACGCAGGGTCACACTCACCAGCTGATCGTCGTGGTCTTTTATTCCCACCAGCAGCTCAGGCAGTATCTGACGCTTTAGTTCTTCCATTTGGAATGCGTAGATGTAGGAGTTGAGGTGGGACAGGAGGAGGAGTCGCACTGAGGTGTCTCGCACGCAAAACATCTGCAGGAGTTTGGGGACTAGGTAGCTTTTGAAGGTGGAGACAGAGAAGAGACCTGTCTCCTCTTGGGGTTCCTCCTCGGTTGTTGGCTTTAGGACGTACGGCAGGAGCCTCGATTGGGCTGTTGGGTCCAGCAGCACCAGACGCGACAGCAGCAGACGACCCAGCTGCTCTGCTACTATCTTCTCGGGGAATGATTTCAGTTGGGAAACTAAATTCCTGGGGGAGAAGGAAAATTAAATTTTTGGAGATTAAATTTAGAGGGATTTGGGGTTGAGTTTGGAATAGGGTGGTAGATTATATATTTTTATGGAGGGAGGGTGGGGCAAAACGGAATCTAGATTTTTCGAAGAAAAAATTTTAGGTGCCAGTTGGGTTTAATCTTATTCTAGATTTAGAAATTACATTTTTTTGTTATAGATTTTTCAAAGAAAAAATTTCTTAGACAAATCTAACGAATTCTACCGAAAATTCTATTGGATTTCTATTGAACTTCTATTGAAAATTCTATTAGTTTTCCGCTGATTCTATTGAAGAATTCCGTTTATTGGGTATTTTTTCCTATAGAAAATGTTTGAATAGAAAAATTTTCAGATTTTAGATTTTTCTACGAAAAAATTTTTGAGAGCAATCTAATAAATTCAATCGACAATTCTGTTGGATTTCTATTGAAGTTGTATTGAAAAGTCTATTAGTTTTCCGCCGATTCTATTGAAGAATTCCACAGGTTCACTGCGCATTTTTTCTATAGAAAACATCTGAATAGGAAAATTTGCATAGAAAGACAAAATTCTGCTGGTTTTTCCCATAAAATAGTTTTTATTAAAAATTTTCTATAGGAATTCCTCGACATGAAATTAAAAATTTTTTTCGTTTCATTTACAAAAAAAAAAACAAATAATTGAAAAATTTGAGCCGAAGATCTTTTATAGAAAATATCTCAATAGGATCAGTTGTACAGAAAAATAAAATTCTATTGATTTTTTTCTATACAAAATTTTCCACTGACCATTTCTATTGAAAAAAACGCATAAATAAATTGTTGGGGTTGTCCTTAGAACCGGCCAAAGACTAATAGAAAATTTGCTAGGTGTTTCGATATTTTTCAATTGATAATCTGAAAGTTGTGGGTTCAAATCCTCTCGTCATCATCCTTGCTTTCATTACTGGTTCTTTCAATAATATATTGAAGTAAATTCATCAACAAGTTAGATGCATAAGTATTTTCAATACTCACGAAAAAAACTGTTCCTTCTCTGGTTCAGTTTTTAATGGCAACTCCATGAGAAATGCATGAATATTAATAAAATCGTGGGTAAAAAATGGATGACGAAGTATTGAATTCAAACTTGGCCTCAACGCTGGGTCAGGATTCTGTAATTCTTGTCTACAAAGTTCTTTGAAGTCTAGAAGAGCTGGCACATCGTCTAAAACAAAAAAAAATCAGAAGTCAAATATTTCTAATTGAACTCCCCAGAAAAATCTATTTGATTTCTATTAGTTTTTAGCCAATTCTATTGACGAATTCCGCAGCTCATCTGCACATTTTCTTTTCAATAGAACGGTTTAATGAAGAGATAAAGTAATAGAATTTTCAGTGAAAGTTCAATAGAAATGGAATAGAATTTCCTATTGAATTCGCTAGAGTTTTCAATGAAATTTTTTTCAAGACAATTATTTTATTTGAAGTTATCGTTTTGTACCTGAATTCTTCAGTCTCAAAACGTCCTCAGTAAGTACTCCAAATGCAAATTGATCAATGGACACTGGATTGACCTGAGAGACCATCGAGGAGGCGTCCTCCTCAGGGGTGATGGCTTTCTCATACCTGAAGTTCTTGATCTTCTTCAAATAAGCTTGATTGAAGTCTGAGAATTTGCAGAGGAACTCGAGGCTCCCCAGCTTCCATGACCCCTCGGGGGTCACGTAGATCGAGCTGGAGGAGAGGTTGTTGTGGGAGGCGAGGGCGTTCTCGTGGAGGAACATGAGGGCTCGGAGAATACTGTGGAGTCCTATGCATATCTGAAGGGTAGTCTGGGTACCGATTACCTGAGCCAGGGGTTTGGCTTCCTCGGTGGCTAGGTAGTACGAACTACCTTTCTTCCAGGAGGAGATGTATTTGAGGATGCAGGGGTGACGGTGGAGCATCAAATTCTGGAGCATGAATTAATTTTAAAGGCGAGAACAACCAGAGATTTCACTCATTTGAATCAAACATTTTTTATTTGCACTGTTAAAATTTTTCATCTGCTATTTTTATAATTAATAATAATTAATTATAATAATAACTAATTTTTATCATATTCAATTTCCACTGCAATTTCAGGAAATCTTGTCATTGAAAAATTAAATATTCCATTGATCTTCTGTTCGAATGATCGAATTATTCTGTGAAAATTCATAAAAATAAGAAAAATTCATACTCAAAATCTTTAGTTAAAAAATAAATAAAATCTTTTTATTGAAATTATCAAGACAATTTGGAATACTCTATCGGTTTGTTTACCATCTGCTCATGATAACAATCACTCCAAAATAGCCACATGACTACAAAAAATGTGGTAGAAAATAAAGAGAAGAATTGGGAACGTCCCAACTATTTTTAAATAGAAAAAAATTAAAATTTTATTGATATTACCTTTGCCGTCCTCTCCAAGGGCGAGGGCTTGCCGAAGTTGGCAGTTGAATGAAGTGATGGCTCACTGATAAACACCGAAAGACATTGTGAATTCGCGCCACTGGTGCTTGCACTGTGATGCAGCCAAAAATCCGTAACTTCGATGGCTTTCTCATCGATCTCAAGCCCACTCAGGGCACTTTTTTCATTGCCCATTAATTCCACTGTCAGTTTTTAGAGTGGAATTGACAGGACAAATATAAACCACTGACGTGGGGACAGGCCTGTCCTGTCCTCACTGACGAATGGAAATAGCTCCCTAACGCCATCTCCCGCATTGGTGCACTGAGCGTAGAGATGTGCGATATTTTCGAAAACATCAATTATCGAAGAATCGATGTTTTTCAAAAACATCGATGGTTTAAAAAATCGATGTTTTTCTCATGACAGGAAAAAAACATTTTTTAAACAACATTTTTTTAAATAATTTTTTTCTGTACTGCCTCTCACGATTTCTCGTCTGGGAATTGGTATTACATACTTCCCAAACTCGAAAACTTGAAAATCACTACAGAAAAATATTGTTCCTGGGCTGTTGCGATGGGATTTTTTTACTCGGGTGGTGTTGGCCTCCGAGCCGAAGGCTCGGCCTATAATCACATTCGTCAGAAAATACTTTGTGGACCTTGTGATGAAAATAACTATTTCACGAGTTACGAACAATATTTTTCATCACAATGTGGCGGAAACTTCACTTTTCGTCACAGCGTGATGAAAAAATCATTATTTTGTTTATTCCCAATCAATCAACGTTATTATTCGACAAAAAAATGAAAAATTTTGTTAGCTTGGTCAGAAACATCGATGTTTGGAAAAAATAATCGAAAATCGATTAATCGGCCGTTGAAAACATCGCATGAAAAACATCGATGTTCGGGCATGGAAAATCGATGTTTCCGATTAATCGACAAACGTCTCCCATCCCTAACTGAGCGTGGGAAGAAGCGAAGGGACAACTTGTCCCCTCGATTTGTCGTTTTTCTTCATCAGAAGAAATTACTAACGAGTGGCAGTCGCCAGTAATAATCTCAGGGGTAATTACGATCCTTAAGAGTTGATGTGATCAATTTTTCAGGGTTTTCGGCCATTAATTATTACGATTGAACGATTGTACTGAGTTCTAACCTAGAAATTTAACTCAGAAACTATTTTTTAAAGACGATAAACTGTTTTAGGTGGTATTAAGGGATTGAAAATGTCTCGTCCACTGCATTCTTTCATCCAAATCCGTAATTATGTTGCTAAAAAAATACCAAAATTTTGGAGTAAAGATAAACAAGTGTATGGGAACGTCAGTTATTATCCAAGGTGAGTGATTATTTCGATAAAAATATTGATAGATCATGAAAATTGAGGTTTTATATGAGCAGTAAATAATTGATGAATTTAAGTTTTACAGTGAGCTAATTGAATGAATCTGATATTGATTAGTCCGATATTTATATTTTTTTTTCAATATTTTTTTTATAGTCAAGGATATCCAAGTGTTGTTTCAATCATTTTCAATCATCAAATTTGTGAATTAAAATGCGTCAGAAATTTGAAAAAAAATCATGAAGATTCGGAGTCATTAAAAATTACAATTAAATTTTGCACAAAATAATGATTTTTTAAAACATTCGTTGTTTGTGAATAAATAATTGAAATTGTTTAAACTTTCGGAAACTTTATTTTTTTTAGGCATGAAATGGATTTCTGGTTAAATTCTGAATATGAATAAAATTGTTACCATTGTGAACAATGATTTTTATGGTGGACAATTGATTGTTTATAAATTAATTATAGGAAATGCCCATAATTTTCTAAAATTACAATTTTTTAATTATTTTGTCAATCTTCCTCCAAAAGTAAACTTTCGAATTTTTCTTCAGATTTCTAAAATATTTTTTAACAGTTCAATATCGAGATTCAAATTCAGACCTGCAAAGTTTAAATAATAAAATCATTGTAAAGTGTCCGGAAAATTACTGTCAAATGGGGCTCAAATGAAAACTCTGATGTTCGACTATGAAATAATATGCTTCCGAATGGTTATTTTGCATATCATTTCCTTCTATCATGTATAATTCATTGTTTATTTTATTTTATTCGATTGAATAAGATTTCTTTTCAACTAATTTTGTCAGATTTTCAACTTAGTTGAATGTTATCATCATCGTTATTCTTATTATCCCTTCTTTCTGTACAACCGATTGTCTTCTTTACGGTTCTATCCCCTCAGCCCTTCGATAAAATGTTAATAGAAAAATTTTATTTACACATACTTGAATGAATTTGAAACATCACATTTGAAGAAACCATCAGAAAGCTCACTTTCAGGGAAATTCATGAAAAATTCAAAATTTTCAACAATCATCATAAAAATCAAATCAACCAATATAGCTATCATAATCATCTTTTAACTTGGACTTAATGGCATTAAAACAAACATTTTAAGCTATGATTGAATTCATTTGAAGCATGATATTCAAAGATATCCCCGGAATTCTGATTTTCAAAAAATACAAAATTTTTGGCAAATTTTCAAATTAATCAAATAACGATTATTGCTATCGCCTTCATCTTCGAACTCCGTCAAAAGGACACCCAAACAAATTTTTTAAGCCATCATTCAATCAATTCAGAACATTTTTTTTCAGTTATCGTGGAACAATAGATTTTCGAAAAAATTTGAAAATTAAAATAACTAATTGATGAATTAAATTTCAGTTAATGGCGATTGCTAGGGCTCAACATTGTCTACATTTGAAAAAAAAAAGATTCATTTCCATCCATTCATTAGCGAACAATTGATGAAAAACTTTGTTACATACACACACGTACGGACGAGAGCTAAAAATTACATTTTCAGACTTTTTGGATTATACTAGGTCGATATAATCCAAAAACTCCAAAACATAAATTTGACCGATTACAAAGCTTCCATTCGGCAGCAAAAAGCAGCCAAATACTTGGATATCCTTAAGAAAGTTCAATTCTTATGATTATCACTCCATCATACTTAGCATCTAAAATTTTTTATTGTTTCTCCATTGCAAAACAGACATCCGGATCACGTAGACCCACCGATAACCCCCACAAAGCTCCTAGTAGTCCAACGCGTGAAGCCCTACGTTGGCAACCCCTACTGGCACAAACAAATTCTCGACGCATTCAAATTGAACGAAAAATACAGCAAATGCGACAGAACTAAGAAAAGTGAAATGATTGTAGTGAAAAACACTCCAGAGGTTTGCGCCCAGTTATGGAAGATTAAACATCTTATCAGGGTGACACCCCTGAACCAGCCTAATAAGCTTCCAGAGGACGATGATGTGCATGCCACATGGCTCATGGAGAACGGAGATCTCTTGCTCACCCCTAGGGTTGACCCGGCTAGAGAACAAGCGACTTTGGATCACATGAAGAATCCCAAACGTCTGGATCGTGAAACCCTGTCCTATGAACTGAGAATGAGGTGGTTGAACCCTTGGGACACGTGAGTTACAGAAACATTTTTGGGCGGAATGAGCGAGCAGGTGCAACAAGTGTTGATTTTTTATTTCAATTCATTGAGAGGATAAATATGAAGCATGTATATAGTTTAAGGAGAAGATAAAGAAGAGGTAAAAAAATTGTTGGATTGATTATTGGGATCAGTATTGATCTGCCTTACCTTGCGACAATCCTTTTCATAAAAACGCCGTAAACCTTTGAACCATCTTCCTCTTGATTCAGTCTCTTGGGAAATTTTTACAAACCAAATCCTCTTGGATATGTCAATTGAATTCCACATACCATATTTCGTCTTAATTTCCGTCTTCCTATTTTATTTTGTACCACAAATTGCTCACAAGAGTAGGTTAATTCCTCACGAATTGTTGGCCAACAATATCCAATACATCTAGGCTCAAGTACTGATTATTCCTAGCCGTTCGATGATTATCCATTACAGTTGTGACTGACATCATCATGAATAGAGAAGTTTTTGTATAAATCAGGGGTCCTTGTTACTGCGTTGCCAGAAGAATTGTAAAGTACGATGCGGATGTTCGTATGATCTGCAATAAAAGCGGTGATCGCGATCTTTATGCGAAATAATCTGTAGTGATGCGTATTTTTCTTTCTACCATATTAAATGTCGGGAAATTCATGACCAAGAATTTTCCTGCTGTCAGCTGACACGGCAGCTGACTCCTCATGAGAAGCAAACTCAACATTTTTTGGGACTTTACTGAGCTGTGGTACCATTGCGCATTCGATCTAAATAATTCGTAAAACAAAAATCACCGCTGGTAATGATGATCGAAGGGATCAAGCGTATTTACATATTTTCTTGAATACCAAGGCTGTGATCTATGAGACGCTGACCAAGCAGACATTCCACAAAGAGATGTCCGAGTTGAGAAATTGTTAGCGAACCGTATTGGATAAGTTTTTCGGTCGCATCCAAGTTGATTGCGATCTAGAACAAAAACGGAATGAAACATTCAAAGAAAGAAATTCGTGGGGAAAGTATTAGAGACGTCTTGAATCAGGAAAGCCATTCTTAGCTTGAATGAAGTCATGAATAGGTCCAATTATTCGATCAATTGGGCCGGGGAGAATTTTAGATCCTCATTATGAATCATCTAAGATGGATGGGGCAAAGTGGAATGTATATAACAGTTTATATCATTACTTGTACACCAGTTATGCTGATGATAATCATATTGAGTCCGATGACAGCGAGAAAGTTCCATATGTAGAGTCCCTCAAGCTCTTCAGCAAATCTACCAAAAAATTAACTATTTTAATACAAGAACGATGATTACATACGGTGACGTACTCGGTAGCTTGATAATGTATCTGAATGCAACGCTGGACGTGCAGAATTCCCTCCGTAGATTCACGATTATTATCAATTGGTATATGTTCGATGGCGTATCTTGACAAAAAAATACAAGTGGATGAGTATAGGTATTGTTGCTAATAAATTAGCAATTTCCTTCCGAATGGGTTGTCCTTGAAATTCTTATTTCACTATTCTCTTCTTCCATTTTTTCATGTCACAGTACTATCATCAATTGAAATGTTATCAAAATTTTGCGTATTACTTCGTTCTGTCAAATAATTCTACAGTCAGACCCTCTCAAGACTCGAATTCGTTTTCAGTCTGGGTTTAATCAAGGTTCAATCAACACTGAGAGAAAAAATTAGCTCTGCCGAAAAGATAAATGTTCACCTGTACAAAATTTTCTTGTCTCAAGATTATTATTCCCCACGAGAAAATATTCTGCAGCGAAAAATTTATTCTTTCCACTTGAAAATCTGACAGTGGCATATGAATAGATATTCTTTCGAGTAGAATGCCAGGATTCAAATATCATGATAAATAATAATCTGTTTGACTGCAAACCAAAAAATTTTCCCCGAAGCAGAAGTTTGAGCTGACAGAAGAACCATTCTTTCAGCAAAAATACGACTGTATAATCTCTACTGCGACTTTCTCTATTATTTCCAATATTACTCATTTATTTCCCCGCCATTGATAGTTATTGAGTGAGAAATCAAAGTTCAGTTCTGAGGTCACAAACGGATAAGTTTGAGAAGGTTAAACCTCTGATCCACAGAAAATTTTAAAACCTTTTACGAAATGTAGTATCCGTATGATCGACTGGAACTCTATATTTAGAGATTTCTATTTTACCGACGAACTCCTACTTTAAAGCTCTCTGTATTGAGTCAGCGTGCTAATGCACGCATCAAGTTACAAGAATATATTATCGTTGTTATGCTGTTTATGACTAATTACCCCAACCAACTTATCCATAAATATCACACGAAGCTTTATTGTAATCAGCGGAATAGTGTACTTTTTTTCCGCTTGACTTGTGAACGTGAAAAAAAACAGATTTTGAGGCGACAAATTATTTATCTATTTACATCAAACTATACGTTGACTCCACGTATCTTATATTATTAGACGAAGTTATCTCGATATTTTTGAACGGAATAAATATATTTTCGGCAGAGGTAATTTTTTCTCTCAGTGAAGGTTTAATCAGTGTATAGCCGGAATTTAATCAGGGTTTATTCAGAATTTAGCCAGAGTTTAACCCAGGTTCTGTCAGAAGTTAGTCGGGTCCATGAATCAATATGAATAAGTATTCAACATAATAGACTAGTACCTGAGTTCAATAGAGATAGAGATTTCGATATAAAAAGCTCATGACGGTATTGTGTAACTTGATGAGGAATGATGCTGTTCTCACCATTTTCCGAGTTGATCAAGAAGCCATTGAAATATAGTAGAACCCCGTTATAAGGAGCCCCAATATAAGCCCACTTCTTCTCGATCGCTTTGTCGGCAGCGTGAAGGGCAGCGTCTATTCGCACGCTCCACGGTAAGATTTACTGTGGATTCACGGTAGATTTTCACTCACATCTTGTCTGACGTCTCTGCTATGAACTCTGGTTTTCAACTCTGACAATTGTGTTGAAAAGCAGAGTTGTGACAACATTGTCCAGTGGGATCTAGGAGTCTTCTCCGGTTAGAAAATCACCCTTAAAATCATTTGCACTATATTTCGGTACCCACTCCTGCACTCGGACCCCATTAGACAAATATGAATATTGTTGAGAAAACGTTCACATAAAATGTAAAAAAGTATTTATTTCATCATTTATTTGCGTTTAGTCAACTATTTATTTCATTTTTTATTTGCGTTAATCTAGACTGATATTCGTATTCAACGAATTAATATTTTGAGAAAATGATTTACTAGTCTACTATCTGCATATCCCCCCTCTACTGGGTTCCCACTTTGTCGTAGTGAGGGGGCTCGGTCGCTGGCGGTGGTCTTAAGGACTACCGCTGCCCGCGGTCGCTAAGAGGAGTCCACCCAATCCATGTGTGTGAGCGGCGTAAGCCATGGCCTCGGCCATACCGTGCCTAAGGATGCGTGGCACAGGGGGAGCTGTGTCGCTAACGGTGCCTCTCAGAAACCTGGGCGACCTCTGAGAGTAGTCTTGGGTGTAACCCACCCGAGACAAGCCAAGCCCTGGGCAATCGCGGCAATGCACCAGGTGAAAACGCTTAACCGCGGTACTCGTGGGACTAAAATGGAAACCAATTTAAAAAATCTTAATATTGAAAAAGCAACTTCGGGTGGGGCCAGCGATGGCGAACACACGAAGTCTGACAAGGCTGACCAGTCTGGTACCGATGTGAATCGGGTCAGACTGAGTGGAGCCGAGAGAAGACGTCGCAAGAGAGCGAAGCTGCATCAAACCTCGGGGGCACTTGCAACCTTGACGGATGCAGCAGCGAAGGTCGATGAGGGAAGGGGGGAGGGGGCTACGAGGAAGGCAATAAAACGCCTTCCATCAGAGCGTACTACGCCAAGCCCCTCAGTCAGACCGAAAGAAAAGAGAATGAGAACGCAGGATCAGGGCACATATGCTCAGAACACTACGAGCTCATTCAAGTTTGCAGTTATGCCGGAGTCATATCCGGATCAGAAACTGGGCACTGAAGAGGTAACGGAGGTGAAGAAACTCCTGAAGAGGGCCATTCTGGCGTTACCTGACGGGGTGAAAGCACCCACCTTCAACGGTGTCTGGGAAAGAGAAGGTGTGGCAATGGTGTGCTGCACTGATGAGGAAACGGGAAATTGGCTGAAAAGCCTTTTCCCCGAAAACAAAATAGCTGGACTTACTGTACGTGTGGTCGCAGCCTCGGAGCTTCCCAAGAAGCACAGGGTTGTACTACACGTGGAAGACCCAGATCTAACCGCTCAAGAAGCACTGTGCTTCCTTGAGAAACAAAATGCAGGACTGCAGGCCAGAGAGTGGGTTGTCGCTCGGGGCAGTGAGAGTAGGGACGCGAAAAGTGCCCACTTCGTTGCGCTGATAGACGACCGATCACTCTCTGTTCTGAAAGCCTGCAACTTCAGACTGCACTGCGGGATTCAAAAAGCTACTGTCAAGCTGCTTGCGAAAGACCGTGGTGAAAGTCAGAAGAAGGGTACATAGAGGTACCAGGAAAGTAGTCATCATTATGGCTGCAACCCGGGTGCACATTGTACAGATAAATTTGCACCACAGCAAAGCAGCCTCGGCTACTCTAGTCAGGCTGTTAGCTGGGATGCAGACTGTCATAGCAATGATCCAGGAACCATGGATAGTGGACAATGCTATTAAGGGCCTCAGTGGTTGTGGCAGAATCTATCACGCAAACACTCAGGAGAAAATTAGATCTTGCATTGTTATTAAAGGACTAGACTCTTTCTTCTGTTCACAGGCTAGTGAGGGAGACCTGGCTGTGGCACAAGTGGATCTGGGCCTGGGACAAGGCGAGGAAATGAGCCTGGTTGTAGGGTCAGTTTACATGCCCTATGACTCGGCTGAACCACCTCCTTCGAAAAAAGTAAAGGACCTATGCAACCATGTGAAGGAAAGGGGACTTGAACTCCTGCTAGGTTGTGATGCCAACTCGCACCATGTAGCATGGGGGAGCACCGGCATTAACGGCAGGGGGGAAAGCCTCCAGGAATTCATAATGGGGGCCGGTCTAAACATCCTTAATAGGGGGTCAGAACCTACCTTCATAGATCGGAGACGACAGGAGGTCATAGATATCACTCTGGGGACGGATAGAGTGGCAGACATGATTGGGGACTGGAGGGTCTCAAAGGACCTCTCAGCGTCCGATCATCAAACCATAAGAATGTCCATCCACACAGTGAAAGAAACGGAATGGGTGAGAAACCCAAGACGAACAAACTGGGGAAATTACCGAGAGAGTCTATCTGACAATCTCAGGGATATCATCCTCAGATTTAACAACAAAAAGCAGCTGGAGGAGGCTTCGATTGCCCTAAACCAGGCCATCATGGACTCCTTCGAGACAAACTGCAAGCTTATCCCGAAAGGGCAGCCCACTGAGACTCCTTGGTGGTCAGAGAGGCTCGGTGGGCTGAGGGGCAAAGCTAGAAAAGCTTTTAACAAAGCTAAGAACATGAGAGCGGGCCCCCGTAAGGAAGACGCATGGAAAACTTACAGAGTCTTGCTCGCAGATTACAACAAGGCAAGAAAGGCAGCCAAAGCGGAC